ATACATAAAGTCATAATAATACTGAAAGGGGCAAATATATTATAAAGCAAAGGATGCTGTAGTATCTCAGCATACCAACCAGTTCGCACCAGACTAGGTGGGTGACAATTATATATCCTAATTTCATTGTTTATTAGAATGAACAACATCAGCTTCATATTGACGTAGATCCTCTTATTTTAATTAATATATATCTATCTATTAAACATAATTTTATTATTTTATATAGTAGAGGCCAGAAGCTACCATATGGTATGATAATTATTAGTTTCTAGTGTTATAACTATACAGTTCTCATTTTTTAACTCAATATTTCCTCTTATTTCCTGCTGAGAATATTATTATTATTATAATAAAAAGTGCAAAATATTATATCTATAAATATACTATTCTAAATTATTTTTAAAGATGACGAATTCAATAACCATATGGTGGAGTACTAAAGTCGTGAACCATTTATAGATAAGTAGTATATATCATCAAAAAATTATTCATAAACATTTTATTAATCTTTTACAGCATAAGGCAAGTTTTTAGCAAATATTAATTTAGCATATCTACACTTATTTTTTCTAAATCTACAAAAAAATTAATATTATTTTTACCTGAAATTATTCCATAATCATACATTATCACTATTTTACTGTAATAATTCTTCTTACAACATTATAGTATTTTCAATTATTGTTAATGTTATTCAAAAAGAAAAAACATAATTGGAAAATGTCATAGTGTTATAAATATTATTTCATCTAATTTTTTTTTAAGCTTAACATTTTTACTACCACGTAAAATTTATTATTTATTTAGTTATTATTATTAACACATCAACTTTATTCTTTATTTAATATATTTTTTTTACTTACAAACCCCTACAGTTTTAATTAATTTATCCTCATGAAAATCGCTATAATCGTGTCATTGATCATCGACGGGTACATAGTTTCTAATTGTATTTTTTTGTAATTTGTTGATGCCTAACCTAATCTTTAATATTTGATTAGTTGTATTGTGTTGATGAAAAAACTAAATAATTATCAAAGTTAAAATTTTATACTTGACAATTTAATTATCTTTAGACTTATAATAATTACCATTTCGAGTTTATATTTGTTCTACAAGATATTATATTATGACATATATTAACTTAGTGTTTTAGTTATTTATGATTTTATTTAAATAGTAGATATAAAAATGTAATTAAAATAACAGTCAATTACTTTTGGCTATTCAATTTAAGTCTTTGTACTGCTTGGAAAGTATTCAATTATTAGCAGTATCAGCAATAACCTGAATATTATATTATATTTTATGTTAAAATATATAAATAAATATAGTTGTAACAGATCCTTACTATAATAAATTTAAATGCTTATTGTGTTCGTTAATATTTTAATATTAAAAATGTTGTACAATCACTTAATATTTACATAATTATATTGTATAATGTTATACATACAACGCTATCTATCAGTTGCAGTATGTGAACATATTAACTAAAAACCGATGGTTACCACATATTGTAATGTATGTACTATGTAGTAGGTATATGTAATTATTTATTTTTTACAATATTACATATTATGCTATTTCGATTCCATTTTTATTTAAGACGACTAATATGATTATAAAAGAATTACAGTTTAAAGGACAAAACGACTTATGAATATATGTATAATTTATTATGAATGAAACTTTACTTTTTCAAATTTATTTTAAAATGTTCATGATAATATAGGATCAATATAACTTGAAGATAAATGATAATTATTTTAATTTTATTTAAAATATAAATTTATAATTAGTAAAAATAAATGTACAGCAAGCAAATAAGTTTATAAGATGAGAAAGGCATGGAAGACTGAAAGTAGGGAAGCGATCCAGTAATAGGGCCCTTAATAACAATATATTTAGGACAATATTCTTGTGGTAAAATTTCTTATATTTTACGTGACGATTTGTTTGTCAAGTATTATAGCCTATATCCTGTAGTTATCTTACAGGCTATACGTAAATCTTGTTGAAAACGGGAAAATCTTTTGACAGGTGTCCGAATTTGTGAAAATCGAATGTACTCGTTTAAGTTTTATAAGGAAAATATAAAAAATTAAACTATCGCAAAGGTCGATAGAAAGATTTATCGATTTTTTAGCGGCTTCTCTTCTGTACTTAATTTAAAAAATAACAATATATCAAAATTTTACATTTATACATACTAAATGTCTAAATAGTTCATAAAATATTGTTTAGTACATTGTTATTGTTGATTGTAGTTGGTATATTGGTGTATAGTGTAATTACTTAAATAATATACTTTATTTAATATTTTTTAAATTTTCGTAAGGTATTAAATAAATATTTTAATAAATTGTGTTATATAAAAACACTCAAATATTTTTCATGTTTCACAAAAGAAAAAAATATAAGTAGTATTAAAAAAAAAAATCATAATTATTACTAATTAAAAGAAAATTCAATTTTTTTTTTTTTAACGTTTTATAGTTTATTTGCGAACCATAATTATATTTATTTTAACATTTTTACTATAGAATATTTTGAAAAAAATTATTTTATGTTATTGTTATGTATTTATATTAACCTAAACGTGTCCTCCGATACTTTTAATATGATATGTATTTTGATTAAACTCATGACAAAAATATGTTTATTATTGAAAAATTTGCTTAAAATTTTTTTAAAGGAATCTTGCCTAACTTAATTTAAGAACTAGGAGTTAGTCTCAATATGTATAACTTCAAGTATTTCAGGGGTTAACCTAATTTAATGGTTAACTATTTTAACTATTATATATTAGTAAGATCTTAAGATTTAAAAATTAACTTACACTCCAATTAATTTATTGATACAATTTTATTCAAAACAGTCAATTAATTTTTAAATCAAATAAAGAAAAATTAATTTTTATACTAATAAATTTTATCCTTTATAAGATCTATGTTATAAATAGCCTAGCAATATATTTTTCTCAAGAATTAAAAATGTAGAGAGAGGGTGTTCTAAACCTAAAATATTTTATTTTAATTTAACAAAATACACACAATTATATTTAAGATGGTGGTACTTAAAAGACCGAATAAAGTTCTTTAAAAAAGTGTTTTAATTTATTATTATATATAATAAGATAATAAATATTATTTTTTATATCTATTATTGCTAAAAAAACTATTAAAACAACTTTTAACTTTTTTCTTCAATTTATAAAATAAATAAAAATAGTTAGGACCGGAATCTTGCCATCTGGTTTTGACCGATTATTTACTTTATTTTAAAAATTTCAACAAAAAAGCTTTTTAGATGATTTCAGAAATAGTGAAACTTAGTCAATTTTTATATTTTTTAATTTAAAAATTTAAAAACCAATATTAATTTTTTTAATAATTAATATCAGAAAACATAAATAAATACACTAAATTAAAATTACCAACACTGTATAGAGTTGAAAATATTAAAAAAATAAAGTTTGTATTCTATACTATCTATTTAATGTTTTGTAATAAAAATAATAATAATAAGAATAGTCTAATGAATGTATACTAAAATTAACTATATTTTTTACAAGTACATAGATATCAGTTTTATAATTTTTTTAAATAAATTCCATCAACCATTATAAAAACATTAACACTTTAAAAATAATAAAAACTTTAAGATGTTTATTTTTGATACAAATAAGTTCAATAATTCTATATACCAATATTTTGGTTGAAATAATGAATTAAATATATTTAAATATATATTTCTACTACCTATACATTTTAATTTAAAGGATTTGTATATCATTAAAGTCATTTTATCAAAGTTGAAGTTGATGAGTATTAAAATTGAACCTATATAAAATAGCTGTATATTATAATGGATATGTGTACTATGCTATAATTAAGAAAAAAATATTAAAGTTGATATGGTCAGCTTCATTGGATTTTGATCGATGTTTTAACGAATTAGTCATTTTTCTTTATAACTAACTACAAAAAAGTTTCTATTTTTTTTAGGGAAATATTTTATTTAAACCATTATTGATTTTTTTTTTCAAATTTTGTGATATAAAATTGATATAAAATGTAGTCTATATCGGATGACGTCTATCCATTAAACAAATATATTTTTAAAGAAAAAACAATAATAATATATATAGCATCATTTAAAAACAAAATATAAATTACTTTGTCTACACGATCGTACCAATGATTGTAAACAGAATTCTTAAAATATATTTTATGCTGATATCATTTTACTGTGTGTCAACATTTATTATTATAGTTTAAATTACATAAAATCATTGGTGTATTCCACAATGTTTAATCGTTTTAATCAATTATTAAAAATTTGTAATTAATAAAAAAAAAAAAAAATACAGCATCAGTAATTTGTAAATTATTTAACTATTGATGCTACCATAATGGTAACTACAAACAAAATAAAACAAAATCTCAGGAGCATAAAAATAGTTAAATAATATTAAACATTTTTTTCTATACTTAATTTTTATTAATATTTTTCTATGTTAAGTGAAATATGTAATTTTGTAGATAATTAATTATAAATGTACTTTATGATAACTTTTTTGGAAATACTGTTCTAAAAATTAAAAACCATAAAACAGTATAATAAACGCAAAACTCCACTATCCACTGTTAGAACATCTAGTAAAAACATTGTACATTTGACCGTTTCTAAAAAGTTACGATACTTTTTTGAAAATTAATTAAAAACTACAAACTTGGTTTTTAATCTTATTAAGTAATTACAATTATGGAATACACGTATACAATCAGCATGATTTTTATACTTTTACGCAATGATTTCGAATAATATATTATTCTACTCACATTTTTAAAAATATAAAATAAAGTAGTAGGTAAACTATATTATGATACGTATTTGTCAATAACGTGATAGGAAGTTTTATTACAAATGTCATTGTTATGTTTTATATTCTGTTACTATCATAGTAGGAAGCTTACGTTTCAATATTTCAGACAACAAAATTTCATATTTGATCCAAGTGCCGAGCCAAAACTATAATAAAAACTATTGTAATAAAGAAATTGCTTGCCCAAATCTATCCACTTTGGCCTTGTCCAGAAATGCTTTGGATACAGTCGAAGAATTTTTGGTTTTATCCAATAAATTACGTATATTGTATTTGGTAATTTGATTGAAAACTTATATCATATTGGTATGCATTAATATATAAAGCATGTTTTTCTTGTAATAATGTCTTTAGAGCTATAACAAGATTGGCAAGCTAAACGGATTAGGTGATTTACAAAATTTATCTCGTTTACACTTGCGAGGTAATCAGATAACAAACTTAGATGGTTTTACTGATAATTTAAAATATTTGTCGTACTTAAACTTGAGGTAAGATTATATTATATACTCACATGTGGAATAGTTTAAGCTAACATTAAATATGTTAAAAACTATATAATATGTAAATGTATAAATGGGCCCAGCCCGTAAAATAAATAAACATGTTCACATGAGAAAAAAAAATAAAAATATTATTTAAAAAAAAAAGTAATTATAAATTACGTAAACACAATTATTATTTTTATTTTTACTAAATACTAATTCAATTAAAAAAATTGTTTAAATACATTAAATTATACCTATATTTAAATAAATACATGTATTTAAATATATCAAATTTAAAAATATATATTTTATATTAAACGTTTCATAGTATTATTGATATCAGTCATTCATTTAACGTTTAAAATAAAATTCTAAACAGTTTGAATCTTTTGAGCAGCAATATATCACATTTGCTAACGCCTACAGCAATAAATTGGGTGCTTTTAATCAAATTATATGTACAACACATAAATATATATAGAATATTAGAACGCATCTTGATTAGATAAAGGAATGTAATAGGATAAAAAGTGTTTAATTGTATTGTTTCTTGTTCGTTCAATTTAAAAATAAACTCCAGTTTATTTTAAAATAAAAATTCAATTTAAATCATTGAAATGCAATTACTGCGATTGGTAAAAATAACAAATTCGTTGTAAAAAAAAAATAAGAAAAAAAAATAAATAACGTAGAAAACCGTTAACTTTTTTAACGAGGAAAGATTTTTATTAGTTCTTCATCATCAGTTTTCAGGTGTCTCCCGATATTATTTATTTAAAGGTTATATAAAATAATCAAATTGTTTTACATTCAATATCTATATTTTCTTTGGCTTGAATTAAAGTGGTAAAGATTGGGCCATTTTTGAAATATATATAAATCTGTGTAAGAAAATCTATAGGTATTAGGTAGTGTAATAAAAAAAATTAATGACTTATACTAACTTTTCAAATGAAATGTATTTTGTTAATGTTCCTAGAATATAGTTTATAAACTTATTATATATACTTGATTATACTTATTATACTTAATTAGAAACTATTAAATTATTTATTTTAAAAAACTTTATAAGACGTGTTCTAAAAACAAAATCATTTTCACTCACTAAATACATAATATAAATATACTTATTTTACAAAGATAAATATTTTTTTTATCTATGTGCCGTATACCTACATGTTTTATAGAAAAAAAGAATATATACGAATGGTTTCTGATAGTAAATTAGATTTAATCGGTATTATTGAAAGGTCAAATAAAAATTGTTAGAACATCTAAAAATAATCAGGGAAAAAACAAAATAAAAATTAAAGAACTTTGGCGTAAAAATAGTTTTTAACAAAATAAATAATGTTTTTTTTTTTTTTTTTTGTTGCACATTAAAAAAAAAAGATTGGCAAATGGGTATCACTGTGCTTATAGTAGGTAACGAGTGTTACGAGTGAGTCACTATAATAGATGTGTTAAACTTGAAATCAATGGTATATCATTGTATACGAAAAACGATTCTGAGTGGAGACGGTCTTTTTTTCTACTACTTTTCTTGTATACATAAAAAAAAAAAAATAGGTAATTGGGTACCACTCTGCTGTACGGTAAATGTCGAGTAGGTCACAGTGATGGATGTGTTAACTTTGATCATTGTATACAAATAACGATTCTGACTATAGAGACGGTCTATCAGCTTATATCATTAAGTACATTCTGTATTATGTTTTCTGATATTGCTTATTACGTAAATTTGAAAGATATCATTGTGTATAAAATATAATAATACACGTAAATGTCTCATGTCTTCACGAATAATATTTTTGAACTATAACAAATTAAGTGAAAATCGTTATTCATAGCTTAAATATATTATTTCATCCAAATATGAACCTAAAATGTTTACAAAATAAAATTATATTTATATATTTTTTAAATTTAAATTTTAACTACTTAAGAGAAACTTTTTATTAACATTTCCAAGCCTTATCAATAAAAAATGTTTATTTTTTACGTTTTTAACTGCAAAACGATATGAACATTTTCGTGATTTTGACAAATGTTATTAAATGTTTAAAAAATACATTATTTTTATATATTTTAAACATTTTTAAATAACTACAAGAACAACTTATGTGGGATTAAAAAAAAAAGAAGTATTACTGGCCAATTTATATAATTTTTATTATAGATAGGAGGGGAGAAAAATGTTGTGGGGTTGTCAAAAATAATGTGAATGCTCGTGATAACGTCATATTTTACAATTGCAAAAAAAAGATGATTTTTATTTTCAAAGTACCTAACCTTAGCCGTTTTAATTTTTCAAGCATGATACAGTTTATGTTTTTCGTTATTTTTCAGGGGAAGAATTGTTGTGAGTTTTTAAAAACTAAATTGACATGTCTTTAATATGGCCTTACAAAATGTTCGTAAAAATTAATTTTTTTTAGAAAAGTAATAACAAAACGTATAACCTATTGGCCACTTTATGTAATGCAAAATCAATACATTCATTGCTCTACTTAAAATTTATAATAAAACTGTTGAGATATGAATACTTCATCAAAAGTTTATATAACATAAACCGTAAAGACATTACATAATTTTTTCAAATGTTTTGGTTCTGTTTATGCTATTTAATGTTCTTTGAAAGGTTTTTCTTTTCATTTTTTTTTTTTTAAATTTAGTAACACTTTTAATTTTTGACAATAAAATTTGTACAATTATGATAAAATATTTTTCATTAACGATTCTTGATTTAAAGAATTTTTAAAACACAATCAAGTCGATTTTTTTTTTTTTAAGTGTTTAAACTTGAAATTATAAAAATTATAAACATTTTAAAATTTATTTTTAGTTGAAAATTAATCAAATGATTAGTTTAAACACGTGTTTTAAAAATAAAATACAACAATTTTCATAAATCTATTTCTTAATGAAACTCAAAATTTTTTTAAATTTATTCGTGCAGTTTTTTTTATAAACATTTTAATTTTTAATTTTTGACTAATTTTGATAAAAAAAAAACTATTTTTGTTATTTATTTTTTTTTTTTTGGAAATAAAAAAGTGAACTTTTCATTAATTACTATATTATTTTCATTAAAAGAATTTATCAATCTTTAGAGTTCTTTAATTAAGTTTTATAAATCTTTAGAAACAAAAAAAAAAAAAAAACAATGATGTATGATATAAGTATAATATATTCAACTGTTATAATAATACTTTATAATATAACAAACACTATGTTTTCAATAAACATTAATTTACCTACCATATATTCACTAGGTAGTAAAATAAATTACTATAATAGCAATACAAATATATAATCAATTGTACTTGGTAAAATAGACTGACAGATTGTTTCCACATAAAACGATTTTTTGTATGTAATGATTTATCATTGAAATCATTGAATTAATATTTAACTCATTTATTTTCATAATTTAATAAATTATATAGAATATTTGCTTACTAATTACTACAACACGACGGTTACCTACTTTCCAAATTTTTTAATCTTTACTTTTTTTGTCCAGTATATCTTTCTATGAATTATGATTATAGATATTACAATTTTTAATTTTAGGGAGAACCACTTAAGTGACGTAGAAGAGCTTAAAAAATTGGCGTGTTTGAAATCATTAAAAACGTTGGTGGTATTGGATAACAATTTCAGCAAAGTTTCAATCAGATCGAAGATTCTGAAGTTGTTACCATGGCTGGATAGAGTTGATAAGGGGACGGTTAGCAAATCTGAGCGTGAATTGGAAAAATCCGATCAAAAACTACTCAGGTACGAAGAAAATGAAGACCAAGAAGAAGAGGAGGTGAAATAAGAGAAGTAAAAAAAAGAACAGTTATATTAATTCGTGACATTATTGCAATGAAAGAAATTTTAGATAATTTATTATTTTTGCAATTTTGTATTTTAATATGATTTTTGATTTTACGGGAACGTTAAAAGCTTAAAAAGCCAATAAACCAAATAAATTTACATAGAATATAGTATATAATATACCTATATACCTTGCAATATACATAATACATATATATACCTATATTACACGGTAATTATTTTATACCAAAACTAGAATGCCCTAGTTAGGCTAGAAAGTCGGTGATTGTCAACAGAGGTTTCGACTAATTGGACCCTAGGGGTCATGGTGTCGTGATATTTAAAAAACATGTTTATACGAATTATATTTAAAACCGAAAAAAAAATAAAATCTTAATTTTCTTTCTCTATTGAATAAAAATTAAACAATAATTTTTAAAACTATTGAAAATATGTATTAATAACCACATAGATAATTACGTAGAACGAAATATGTTACTGTTTTATTTATAAGTTAAAAAGATACATTATACATAATAACGCATAAACTGGATGATTCTTTTTATAGAATAATATTTATTATTTTAAAAACTATTAATCTTTTTGAAAATATTTTCGTTATAAAACTTATATTTTTTAGTCGAAATAAAACAACATTTTTTTTAAAAATAAAATTTTAAATATTTTTCATAGTTATAATTTTTAAAGTTTCTTACTTTTTTAAATAATAGCAAATGTTTTCATTTTTTTATTGTAAAGCAGAATATTATTTTGAATATTCCAATACATAAAAATCGAAATTTGAACGAGTAGTTTATGAGTTATAAATATTTAAATTTTATGTGATCGGAGCGGATTGATATGAGGATATACCCAGCAAAATGTTGTTTACTAATTTGATCATTTAAACATAAAATACAGTTATAAACTCATAAGCTACTCGTTAAAATAATTGTATTCAGATCGTATCAAGCCCTTACATCTAATAAGTCCTCTTCGAAATATATAGTTTAGTTTATAACAGAAATATTGAGTGTGTAATGCCATTATAGAATCATCCTGTAAAGAGCAATTGCGTATACATTGAATCGATCTAACGAAACTTTTAGTTTGTTTTTCACAACAATAAAACTAAATTACGCATACATACTTCATTTCTTATTTAAATTTTTTTTTTAAAGTAATTAATTTTATCACTTTAACTCGTGTGTAACTCGTTTATTAGTGTCATATTGAATTTATGGTTTAATTTTATTATCTATTATTGATGTTTTTACATTTTTTTTTAGTAATTACAACTAAACTTTATTGAAAACATTAGCAAACGTTACTAATGCGTAAGTCCAAAATCGTTAATTATGCGTTACTACAAATAATAAAATAATGAAGGTCACTTCAAAAATGTACAGAAAAAAAAATTTAATTTTTTGTTATTGTTATAAACTTAAATTTTTTTTTAAATTATTAATAAAAAAAATATATTAACCAAAATAATATTTTTAGTTAAAATTATTAATAATTTTATTGTATTTTCCACTAATAACTGTGGTTTGAGTATTTACAGATTGTCTTAGAAAAAAATCTGCATTTCTATCGAGGTTGCATAATAAAAATATTACTATTTATGTTATTTCATATAAATCGAAGATCCTTCGCTTGTGTTACCATGTTATAATATTAAATACAGTATCTATGATGTTCTGTTTTTTATGTTTGTCTATACATTGTTGTAGTTGAGCATGTGTTCCACTTGCGTCTGTCGCAGTGACAATACGTACATTGCGACAGCCCGGCCCATTTGGAAATATTGAAAAAATTTTGCACTAATATTTAGCACGTATTTAGCATGAATTTGCATGGCTAAAATTAGAATTTGCATGATATTAGATTAATGGCTAAACCCAAATATTGATGAGCCGGGCTGGCGCAACGTTACGCCAGCCCGGCCCAATAGCAAACATTTAATTATCGAATATACAGATAAACCAATATTTAGCACGCCATTAGCATGAATTCGCACGACTGTCGCCAGAATTCGCACGACATTTTTTTAATGCTAAAAAAACGTT